AATAGCACAATGTTCATGACAATCGTTTACAATTCAAATCTGTTCCACTTTTTTTTTATCAATGATAAACCAAGCCTTTCAATAGTATGAATGGTTTAATTAAGTAAGTTTTCAAACAATTTTCAGCGCTTTTTTTGCAAAATTCAGTTGCTTTCATCAGAGGAGTTTCGAGTTATACAGAAGAATGCAGCATTGTGATTTTGTAGTAACCATTTTGTTGCAATTATCACTAGTTTCTGTCCACTTGTTTTCCCTTAAAAACTATGAACCTTGGGGATAAAAACTGCGAAAGGAATTCCACAATTATCACCAACGTTTATTACAACATGCAAGCGTCAAATTTGTTCCCTTTGTGTATCTATCAATAATAAGACAAAGCAGCTATGAATAGTATAAATGTTGAAACCACGTAAGGTTTCGGACAATGATTTTCCATACCCAATTCACAGCACTCTCCAAAATTTAGTTGGTTACACCAGAGACGTTTTGAGTAACACAGAAGAATGCAGCATTATGTAGCTTTAAAGTAACCACTTTGTGTTGCAAATGTCACTTTTATAGTTTCTGTCGACTTGTTTTACCTTAAAAACCTATCAACCCTGGGGAAAAAAACTGTGACAGAAATTCCACACATCCCCAGGTTTGCTTGCAACTAGTTGACCTTTATGATTGAAATTGTAGCAGTGTCAAAAACAACTAGTGACATGTCTTCATATTCATTCTCATCAACTTCACAAGTCGAACACTACTATATAAACAAAAGTTTGAACCTCATTTAGCACTGCACGACCATGAAAACAACTAAACAGAAAGGGAATAAAAGGAGCAACATTGAGATATGAGCTCTGTAATTGCCAACCAATGTGTTCTTTGTGGGCACGAAATACGTCTGGAACGTAAGTGAAAAGGAGCTTTACAAATCGAGACACATCTGCAAAAAAACAAGATTTTTGTGATAGAGCCCTTTCAGGTAAGCTATCATCAAATTCAATGCTAATTATTGGTTTGCCAAAAAAAATGAAAACGAATCTT